TCCCCGGTCCCCCTCCCTCCCCCGACTTCTTTCCACAGACTTTGCTTCGCCGACCTCTCTCCCCCACTTCCCTTCCCATCTCGACTCCCCTGCCCCGACTTCCCTACCCCGACTTCCCTCCGTGGACTGACCGCCCTTCCCATCCCGACTTCCCTCCGTGCACCGACCCCCCTCCCACGACTTCCCTTCCCATCCCGACTCCCCTGCCTCCCCCGACGTCCCTGCTCCGACGTCGCCGCGCGCCCGAAATCTGGACGTTTGTTCTCGCCCTGCGTGCGGGCGCGGACGCACAAGGAGGAGGTCGTGCGAGGGGAAGCGGACGTCGCGCAAGGGGGAGGAGGCCGGAATAGAGGTGGGAGGAGGTCGTGCGAGGTGGATGAGCAGGGGGACGAGGACGCGTGAGGGGGAGGAGCTGCACAAGGATTACGAGGTCGCGCGAGGGGAGGAGGGTCGGAAGAGAGGGACGAAGTCGCACGAGGGGGAGGAGGGGGTCGCGCGAGGGGTAGGAGGAGGTCGCGCGAGGGGGAGGAGGAGGTCGCACGGAGGTTGCACAAGGGGGAGAGGATGTGGCACAAGGGAGAGGAGGAGGTCGGAAGAGGGGGAGGAGAAGGTGGAGGAGAAGGTCGCACGAGGAGGACGAGAGGTTGCAACGGAGGTCGGAAGGGAGGTTGGAGGAGGTCGCGCGAGTGGTTTGAGGACGCCGGACGAGGACACATGAGCGGGAGGAGGAGGCGGTGTAAGGAGGAGGAGGAGCTGGATGCGGTGGGACGAGAGGTGTGAGACGGTCGCGCCAGGGGGAGGAGGACGCCGTGCAAGGGGGGGAGTGGGTCGTGGGACGGGTAGGAGCAGGTCGCACGCTGGGGACGAGAGGTTGCAGGAGGTCATGCGGCAGGGGAAGGAGGTCGTGCTAGGGGGAGGATTTCGTGCGAGCGGGAGGGGGTCGTGAGGGAGGACGAGGACGTCGCGATAGGGGGAGGAGGTTGCACAAGGGGGCGCGCGCGCACACACGAGAGAGAGAGAGAGAGAGTGAGAGAGAAAGAAAGAGTGAGAGAAGACTGACATAGCTTCCTCCAAATGTCGAGAAGATGCCGTTGGCTTTTTTTGAAGGGGTGGTAATTGGCCAAATACCCCCATAAGTTGGGATATATGTCAAAATGTCCCTGGAGATTGGGCGCTTTTTTTGCAATTGCACCCACCAAAAGTTGCCAACTACTGGGGCATTTTGCAAAGTTCGACGGTGTCTGGTAGGGTACATTGCAAAGATGGGTTCCAACCGATGTCTGGGTTGTTTTGCAAAATGTTTTTGCTGTAGTCCTTGACCGCAGCATAGCTGCGGAGGGTCCACTTGTTGGAGCATAACTTTTCCAATGGCCTTGAAAGACAAAAAAAAAAAAAAAAAAAAAAAGAGAAGGAAAGAAAGAAAGAAAGACAACAAGCATACGTAATAACAACCTCGAACACCATACTCACTGTCCTCCGGGACTTCCGTTAACAATGGAGCGACACGGCGAAGGTAAATTACAGTAATTAAGGACGGCGCGAGGATGACAAGCCCAAATCGCGACATGATCCAAACACCAAAAAAATGAATAATATATCATACGCGCGCAAGGATCAGAACAGCAATACCGAACGGGAAGTAAGCAATGCCCACCGCAGCTCTTGCTTGCGAACATGTTCCCGTAGATCATCCGTTCTAGTACAACAACATCCTACTGGGCCTCGCGAATCTTTCGCTAGAAGATGCCCACCGCAGCTCTTGCTTGCGAACATGTTCGCTAGAAGAACATGCAAAACGTTCTAGCACAACAACATACTSCTGGGCCTCGCGAATCTTTCGCTAGAAGATGCCCACCGCAGCTCTTGCTTGCGAACATGTTCGCTAGAAGAACATGCAAAACGTTCTAGTACAACAACATACTACTGGGCCTCGCTCCACTACTCTCGAAATATGCAAAACGAGAGTGAATCTTTCGCTAGAAGAACATGGAAAGATACACCGCCATGATTTTTGTCTTTTGTGCATGTCGAGAGTACTGGAGCGAGGCCCATTCTCATGACACTCAGAACGCGCACATTTCCCTGACGACGCGTGTCTCGACTGGTTGCGCGCTCCGGCACCTCCTCAGCGCGGGCAACTCGCGAACCTCAAGCCTCGCTGCTCCCGACTATCATCCCCCCTACACCGAGCACCGACAATGACACGACACATTCCAGTCGCCTTTCTTTTCGATGGCACCAAGGTATTGACGCATTCAAGTGAAGCTCTATGTATATATATATATATATATATTGTATGTCGTAATAGAGGACTGCCCGGTCAATCGTAGGCAGAGAGGGAGAAGAGGTGAACCGTGGCAGAGAGGGGCAGAAGTGAAGCGTGGGCAGAGAGGGAGAGAAGTGCACCGTGGGCAGAGAGGGAGAGAAGTGCACTGTGGGCAGAGAGCGAGGAGAGGACAACAAACGAGGGGCTGTGACAGACTGCTTCGTCATACTGTAGTGCATATATATACTCTCATATACATATGTGAGTGCCGTACCTCCTTTGTTAATTTGACAACTGATGAATACACGCCGTACACCCCTACATTTAATTTAGAGTCACGATTGCCCAAACCGAGTGCTGTTCTCCAATCGATGAGATCACTTGGGGATCCCACGCGATCCGATGCGATAAGTCTCAGCCTGTTACAAGTCTTTCCCGCCAACACCTTCCGCCCCCCCCAAATAAGTCCTTTTCCCGCCCACCTTCCGCTCTCCCCTGCCCCCTGCAAGTCCTTTCCAGCCGCCACCTTCCGCTCCCCGCGAGCTCGATCGCCCTCAAGCGATGACGGGCAACTTGCCCTCCCTTCAGTCCATCTATGACGAGGTGGGAGCAGAGAAAAGTGAAGAGTAAAAAGAGAATAACGAGACCGATTGCTCCGCGCCCGCACTACCCCGCACTCCTTTCCTTGCATCCTATCGGGTTAAGGAGGGTTAAGGAGGGTTAAGGAGCCCGGAGGAGGATACGCTGACCTGCAGGCTGAGGGTTAAGGAGGGTTAAGGAGGGTTTAAGGAGGGTTAAGGAGGGTTTAAGGAGGATACGCTGACCTGCCGGTTAAGGGCGGTTAAGGAGGATTAAATCAGGGTTGAGGAGGGTTAAGGAGGAGACGCTGACCTGCCTGCCTCCCTGCCTGCCTCCCTGCCTGCCTACCCGCCTGCCTACCCGCCTGCCTGCCAGCTTGGCTCCCCTCTTGCCTCCCCTCTTGCCTCCCTATCTGCCTTCCTCTGCCTGCTAATCGGTCATCAATGTACTGCTGCTATTAGGATCGCTGTGATGAACCTCACCTGGGTACGACGGGATGTGTGGAGTCATTGACAACACGAGGAAGCTGTGAAGCTGTGTGCAGCAAGGAGGAGGAGGAGGCGGACGGTGCAATTGAAATTCAGGGAATCAACGGAGGAGGAGGGTGCAATTCAAAATTCAAGTGGGAATCAAACACCAATTGAAATTGGACCAGTGGCAGGAGAAAGTTTGCATTGCAATTGCAGACCGACGTGGCACCGCACCTCCGCACGAAAGAAGCGGGAGATAGAGAGAGAGAGACGAAAAATGGAAGCGGAATAGTAGACCTTTCTCGGCCTTTTGGCTAAGATCAAGGGTAGTATCTGTTCTGATCAGTTTAATATCTGATCCGTGGTCCATCGGGCCACTATGATTTTTTAAATTAATTTTTCTGGGCTTCGGAGGGGTCACGGGGGTAGGCTTGCCTGCTCGACCCCTTCAGCGTTGCCTCTGTATTGCACCGCAGCAGAGTGTGGCGCAGCCCTCCAAAAAAAAAAAAAAGAAAATCCGCGCCTTCTTTCGCGCAGGGCGCTATCCCTCCTGCCCGTTTTTCTTTTTTTTTCTTTTTTTCTTTTTGAAAAGGGCGATGGCCTAACCAGCCCAGGTAAATTCAATCTTGTGTCTAATCTGACAACGGTGGCCTTTTCAGCCCAGGGTGGCCTGATAGCCTTCAGGGATCCCCCACTGGGGGCCACCGGCCAGGGGACAGCCGGTAGCAGAGGGACCGAGCATCATCTGAGTGGCCAGTCGCTGTGCCTCCCTGAGTACCCCTCCCCCTATGAACATCAGCAGAGACTGCTTTTTAATGCCAATTGGGGGGACCAACAGGCTATCTCTAGGTGGCGGGCGCCAAGCTTGCCCAGGAAGGTACACATGAGGCCAATGGGGATTGAACCCAAGACCTCCTGAATGCCACTTGCGTGCCTTACCAACTGAGATAGGCACCTTCTTTCCGTAGGCCTGCTCGCTCTTCTTTCCGAAGACGTCACTTTGTTCTCCAAAAGCACCGCCTTCTCACCGCCTCCTACCAGGGCGAGTCCTTTTCGCGGGGACCTCACCCCGGCGTCGGCGCGTGAGGGTGTGGCGATGGCGAGGCGGGGAAACGGCGCACGCAGGGACAATGGCGTGAGGGTGTGGCGATGGCGGGGCGGGATATGGACGCCTTGAGTGGCTATGTATGGAAGCGTGTTTGTGCCACGCTTGCCATATCGCCCTCCTTTAAGCATTGAAGTGTGCTGTTTGGAGTCAGAGTATCCTGCTTGCGCGAAGTGCTTTCACACGGTGGCTTTGTTATGCGAGGAGCGGCGCGGTGCCAGTTTGCTACTCCGAAGAAATGAAGGGGCGTTGCGTGTTCTATCGAGATGAGTGGTGATGACGTGTCGTGAACGGCTACCCCTCCCGCGAAGCGAAACACAACGACGTGCTGTTGAAGGGAATAGAACCTGTTAGGTGTCTTTCACCATGGACGTTCCTTTTCTCGCCGGACTGCCAGTGAGGGGCCATCGACGGGCTCGGTGGTTGGGTCTCGCTACGTGGCTGAAGATGAGGTAAGTTTTAGGCCACGGTCCGTTAGTCTTCATCACTCAGCCATAAGGAGATGGTTGCGAGAAGTGCAGACCACGAGACGGCTGAGGTGCTTACGAGCTGATGAAGGAGGAGGTGGAGGTTGGGGGGGATGAGGACGTGATATGGTGTGTATGAAAATGGAAATGATTTTCTGGTTTGGAGAGTCACCTGGAGGCACTTGGTAGATCTTACGCTAGCTTTCATCGTTCGCCTGCTACTTGATATGTTCCGCACCCTATTCTGCAAATCCCTAAGCTCAGATTCTTGATCTGATTAGGGCTTCTTTCCCCTGATCTCTCATGATGAGTAATCCTGCGTTTCTGAATTTCGTGATCTTAGGTATTAGGTTTTTTTGTTATACAGTCGTCATACAGTTGTTTTTTGCGGTAAAGACTCATACACAATGATCATACTACGTTGGTCTCTTTTGGTAATTGTCAAATCAGAATTCTGATGCTAGGAAATTTCTCATCGTCAATCTCGATTTCAGATTCCAATTAAATTGATCTCACTCTTCCATTTGATAATACCCACTTCCTACAAGAAATTCATAATTTCTGATTTTCGATTTCACAATCTACAACTTGAAAAGCTTCAAAAAAAAAACTTCGTTTCTCGAAACATTCTCCTGTAAAACCTTCTAAAAAACTTCTCGAAATATTTTCCTATAAAAGCTTCTAAGAAATTTTTGAAGTCTTCAAATAAATTCCTATTGAAGCTCTATAAAAATTTCTGACTCTGGAGATCTCAGATAATTCTAATTTGGATCAAGGAAGGAGGGGGGGAATTAAAAAAGGGGAGGATGGGAGGAGAGGTGGCCTTCAGTCAGAGGATGGATGTCGGTGAAGGTGAGTAGGTCAGGAGGACGAGGCTGGGATGACAT